TTTTTTTTTGCTGGGACCTTACCTGATCCTTGCACGGGCTGGCCACCCGGGACCCGGGCGGCCCGGCTGGTAGCCTAGGTTTAAATCGATTTTAGTTTTTGATTTTTTTAAAATCTTAAACAAAGTCGGATTCCAAAAAACAAATATAGGAGTGTAGGGTTTTTCAAGCCCTACACCCCCATATATATATATCGTCACAAACAAAACTGCCCGATATATATTTTTACGTATTTTTAGGGGGGGGGGGAAATATTGAAAAAACAGGCCACGGACTGGGCCTCATCGGCCGCGGCCGCGGCCGAGAATCTCGGCCACAGCAGCCGAAATGCCTGCGGCCTAGGCCGCGGGTGTCACATAGCATTCAGGTGCCATCTGCATCTATTTTCCACCACCTCCTTTAGGTCCATTTTTGGGGCGGAACATCCAATAGGCTGACTTGACCGACTGTGTATGCAGTTGTCGCTGCCCTTGTTTTCCTCTGGCCATGGCTAGTGTCCAGGTCCAATTTTCCGGGTCGAAACCTAGGTGTGAGATTGGTGTGGTCGGTTTGTATGCCAGCCATCCATCTTTTTCTTTTAAAACCCGGATTCGGAACAACTCTGTTTTTTTATACCATCTCACTTCGTCTCCTTTCGTTCGTATAAGCGTATCGTCTGAGCTCTTGTGGAAGAGGTTAACCAGCACTTCTTCTCCTCCCTCTCGTGGTTGGAATATGCCCACAATATTTCTGACTATTCCCTCATATTCCTTTATGCCCACCTAGTCTCCCTCTTCCAGTGCCGGTCTTTTTTTAAGGATACGAACCCAATCCAAGGGGACCGCAAAGATAATTGTCTCTAAGGCCTCCCCTGCATTGTGATAGTATCTAAGCTTTTCTTTCAGCTTAGGTTCAGAAATTCAATCCCCCCGCTCATGATCCCAGACGTCTCCCACTCTTAAGATACCGTACTTGGTCTATTCCTTTCAGGGGTTGTCTGTGCATCGTAGCACCCTCCTGTTAGAGTCAGTTATCCACCGGTTTCCAAAGAGGGGTTGTCTATATACTTCCTCTCAGCGTCGCAGCAGTATTTTATCCGGTGGGGGGAGTTTTCTCCATGTTTTTATAAGTGAGGTCCAGAAGGCATCATTGTGCAGATCCCTTCTGGCTGCTTGCCTGTCTGTTTCGAGTTCGTTCTCTCTCGTTGGTGATGGTCTAGGAATAGGCCAGTACCGGTCCTCCAGCCATGTCGTCGGGTCTATGTCCAGGGGGGCCTGCGGGGCCAGTCTACTTACTTGTTGCAGTGCCAATGCTTTCCATGGGGTCTGTGGCCACTGCAGGGCCAGGGCCATCACCTGGGTGGTTGGGTCTATGATTCCCAGTCCACCTTTGGTCTTTGGTTGAACCACCGCCTGCCACGCCACTCTGCTAATGACGTTTGGACACTCATGGTTCCCTCTCCACAGGAAAGCCGCTACCTGTCGCTGGAGGGTAGTCGTTGCTGATTTGTTAAGTGACCAGAGGGCGGTTTTATACCACAATGAGGTTAGTGCCACGTTATTAATTACCAGGGTCTGACCAATTATTGAGGTCTTGCTGTTTTTCCAACCGTTCAGTTTCCTTAGGACTGGTTGCACCAACCACTCGTCGTTCAAGGATGGTCGTCCTTCAGCTGATAGCTTGACCCCTAACACCCTGATCGGGGCTTCCTTCGGCAACCATCTGACCCTTGGGGCCTCTGGCGGTCTGGGCCCTTGGTAGTGTATCCACCAGCCTTCCGTTTTATTCCCCCAGTTCACTCGCATATTTGAAAGATAGCAGAACCGGTCCATCAGTCGGCGGACTTCCTCCATATTCTCAGCTGAGGCCTCCACCATAAGGGTGAGGTCGTCAGCGAAGAGAGAACAAATAGGGATAGCGT